AGCCCCCCGCTCCCCCCTCCCAGGACCCGTTCCCGCCGCCATTTCCCCGCTCTCACCATGGCCCTCTCGATTTTGTTGTCGATGGCGGTGACGCCGCTCCCGGCGCTGGGGACAGGGCCGGGGTCACACGGACGGACGGACGGACGGACACCGCCCCTCCCCCCCTTTTCCCTTCCCCTTTCTCGGCAGGGGGGCGGGGGCTGAAGGCCCCGCCCCCAGCCATGAGCGCCCCCCCGCGGTCGGAGCTGGCGGCCGCCGCCGCCGCCCTGCTGCGCCTGGGCGAGGAGCGCCCCCCCGCGGCCGCCATGAGCCTGCTGCAGCGCAAGGGCCGCGCCGAGTGGCGCCCCCGCGAGGAGGAGCCGCGCAAGGGGTGAGGGGACACCGGGGGGACACCGAGGACAGCCGGGGGGGGCCTGGGCGGGAAGGTAGGACCCCGGGGAGCGCCCTCAGGGGACAGCGGGAGCACCTGGACCACCCCCAGGGGATGCTGGGAGCCCCAGGAGCACCCTAGACCACCCCCAGGGGACACTGGGATTGCTCAGGACCACCCTGGACCACCCTCAGGGGACACTGGGGGTCCCATAACCACCCTGGACCACCCTCAGGGGACACTGGGGGTCCCAGGACCACCCTAGACCACCCCCAGGGGACTCAGGGAGTGCCAGGACCACCCCCAGGGGATGCTGGGAGCACCAGGACCACCCTGGACTGCTCTCAGGGGACACTGGGACCACCCCGTACCACTCTGAGGGGACCCTGGGATCCCTCAGGACCACCCTAGGAGACCCCCAGCCCCTCAGGACTCCCCACAGTGCCCCAGCTCACCCTGGGAGGACCTGGGCCCCCCGCCCCTTCCCAGGACCCCCAACGCCGTGACCCCAAGACCCTGGGTACCCCAGCGTCCCTGGGAGTTCCCGGAGAATCCCCGGGGGGCTCGGGGTGTCCCCTGAGCCGCTGTGTCCCCCCCGCAGGGTCCCCAAGGCGCGGGAGGGGGGGTCCCTGCGGCGCCCGCTGCGGGTGGGCTTCCTGACGCTGCCGGCGCCGCAGGAGCGCGGCCCCCGGCCCTGCGCCCCCGGCATGGCCCCCCGCTCCCTGTCCTGCCACGCCGTGGGGCTCCCCGACTCGGGGGGGCCCCTGCGCCCCCCCGCCCCCCAAGGCCCCGCCCCCAGCCATGAGCGCCCCCCCGCGGTCGGAGCTGGCGGCCGCCGCCGCCGCCCTGCTGCGCCTGGGCGAGGAGCGCCCCCCCGCGGCCGCCATGAGCCTGCTGCAGCGCAAGGGCCGCGCCGAGTGGCGCCCCCGCGAGGAGGAGCCGCGCAAGGGGTGAGGGGACACCGGGGGGGACACCGGGGACAGCCGGGGGGGGCCTGGGCGGGAAGGTAGGACCCGGGGAGCGCCCTCAGGGGACAGCGGGAGCACCAGGACCACCCCCAGGGGATGCTGGGAGCCCCAGGACCACCCTGGACCACCCAGGACCACCCCCAGGGGACACTGGGATTGCTCAGGACCACCCTGGACCGCTCTCAGGGGACACTGGGGGTCCCAGGACCACCCCCAGCAGATGCTGGGAGCCCCAGGACCACCCCCAGCAGATGCTGGGAGCCCCAGGAGCACCCTAGACCACCCCCAGGGGACACTGGGATTGCTCAGGACCACCCTGGACCGCTCTCAGGGGACACTGGGGGTCCCAGGACCACCCCCAGCAGATGCTGGGAGCCCCAGGAGCACCCTAGACCACCCCCAGGGGACACTGGGATTGCTCAGGACCACCCTGGACCACCCTCAGGGGACACTGGGGGTCCCATAACCACCCTGGACCACCCTCAGGGGACACTGGGGGTCCCAGGACCACCCTAGACCACCCCCAGGGGACTCAGGGAGTGCCAGGACCACCCCCAGGGGATGCTGGGAGCCCCAGAACCACCCTGGATTGCTCTCAGGGGACACTGGGGGTCCCAGGACCACCCTAGACCACCCCCAGGGGACACAGGGAGCCCCAGGACCACCGTAGACCACCCCCAGGGGACACTGGGATTCCTCAGGACCACCGTGGACTGCTCTCAGGGGACACTGGGGGTCCCAGGACCACCCCCAGGGAATGCTGGGAGCCCCAGGACCACCCTGGACTGCTCTCAGGGGACACTGGGACCACCCCGTACCACTCTGAGGGGACACTGGGATCCCTCAGGACCACCCTAGGAGACCCCCAGCCCCTCAGGACTCCCCACAGTGCCCCAGCTCACCCTGGGAGGACCTGGGCCCCCGCCCCTTCCCAGGACCCCCAATGCCGTGACCCCAAGACCCTCGGTACCCCAGCGTCCCTGCGGGTTCCCGGAGGATCCCCGGGGGGCTCGGGGTGTCCCCTGACCTCGGGATGCCCCTGAGCCGCTGTGTCCCCCCCGCAGGGTCCCCAAGGCGCGGGAGGGGGGGTCCCTGCGGCGCCCGCTGCGGGTGGGCTTCCTGACGCTGCCGGCGCCGCAGGAGCGCGGCCCCCGGCCCTGCGCCCCCGGCATGGCCCCCCGCTCCCTGTCCTGCCACGCCGTGGGGCTCCCCGACTCGGGGGGGCCCCTGCGCCCCCCCGCCCCCC